TAAACCTTAGAAAGTATTAAGGGGTTTAACCATCATTCCTCATTCTGGCTTCTGCATATGCATAAAAATTACATCTTGCATCACTTATTGTAGCATTGACATTCTTCGACTTATCAGAATTATTATTTGAATAAACACTAACACCAAGATGCTTATATGAATTCTCCTAATTAATTACAAGGTTTTCGATTGTTATTTTGGTACCTTTGGAGTGTTGTCTTTTCTTTTTCTGACCTTTTGTCTCTCCAAAAACCTTAGTTGCGCTCTTGGAAGCATTAAATTGAAATCGCCATTTATTGCCATGATAATTATTTGCAAGTTTTAATTGATCAACTAATTTACTCTTGTGTATAGCTAGAATTGCTAGATCATCAGCATACACACACACAACTCACGTTTAATGATCCAACTTTACATGAGTTATTATTTGCAAGTTAATAAGTGGATTTATAAATAAAATATTTCCACCTTGTTTTAAACCTTGTCCATTGACAAACTATTCAGAATTTGCACCATGTATAAAAACAGAGTCCATAGAGTTTAAATAGGATTGACGCAAAATTCTCCAAAATTTCCTTTTAATACCAGCGTCATATATGACGTTGGTATTAATGGTAAATTTTGGAGAAATTTGCGTCAATCTTATATATATTTGAGCAAATAGTCCATCAATCCACACCGTGCCATATGCTTTCTTTGCGTATCATTAACCAATTTCTCTATAATGTTTGATTCTATATCGGATGTCCAAAACGGCTTTTAAACAAGTATTTTCTCATCAACGGATTTATTTGATTGATTGAAATTTTGTACAGAGTAGCACAAAGGTGTCATCAGCCAGTCTTATAGATATACAAGGCATTAAGGTGCAAATTTCACCACTACCATGTGTTTCAGACGCCGAACTTCGAATGCCGAATGACGTTAAAACAAAAGTTAGAGCCCTTGGCACTGCCCCCCCCCCCTTGTTAGCTTCTGGATCCGCCAGTGCTGGAGGTGACATAAAAGGGATTGGTCATTTATTAATATAAGCGAGCATTTACAACTTAAAGGTGCAATAATTAGTGCAGAGGGGTCATTCAACGATCATGGACCAGTGTCAAAACATATTTAAGTTTGGATATTTCATCAAGACTAACATCTATATTTATTATCTACAAAGAAACCCCCTAGATAAATATTATTTTAGCTGATATTCCTCTTGAAACATGGTGGATCTTAAAAATATAAAAGTGGAAGTCCTCTTTTTGAAGCTTTGAACTGAATTTACGCTTCTTAATGCTGAAATTGATAATCTATCCAAACATTTTAAGAAAATAGGTATGTCAAAGAAGATGTTAAACCAAATGTTGCCTTCATAGCTCAGAAAAAATGAAAAAACTTCCCTATTTTCTCTACAGTCCTTATTGCCCCTTTAAAACAACGTGTCAGGGAATCCAAAAGTTTTAACTTTTTCACTGTTGTGTGTATCCAAAATCAGGTTTGTCCATAATTTGGAAAGATTCCGTTGCCTTTGAGTGACACACTGGCTGCCAGCTAAGTAGATTTAATCGTAGTTATGTAAACAGATACTAGTTGGCGCTTCTTAACATTAAACATCTAATAAGGTAATTAGTAAGATAAGCCAGGCAGTGAATCTTATTGGATCAGCTACAGCTTAATGCCTATGGTGTATTATCTGACAGCAAGCATCACCATGATGTTTTATTGCCATAACATTAACAAGTAGAATTAAAATCATCAAAGTCAATTTAAATTATACTAATAGCTAAAAATGAAAGTACTCTAAATATCATTCTGGATCAAAAAAATTACCTGTATCAATCTAATTTGGTGTATCTTGTATTTGAGTCTAATATGTTTGTGAGTGTATGTATTTCTGGGTGGGTACATCCTGGGGGGGGGGGGGATACAAGTGTTATGGTTTGTTATTTGAGTTGAGGATGATAAAACAAAGAATTCATTACTCACCTATCAGCTGATTGGTGCTCTGTTTATTTTTTAATTTCCAATTTGTTCATTTTCATGTCAGATATTTTACATAATTATCCAGCAACTGTCTGATGCACATACAACTGTATAATATCCATTTATTGTTTGTACTTTTTATGTTTTCTCTTTGTGTTGAGTCAATATGTCTGTTACAGATACTTTAAAATATGCATAGCACCGTTGGACATATTTTATCCCGTTATTTGGATGGACAGATAGACCGTCTTTATCTAGATTTTCTTTATGCAGATTTTTTTCTAAAACAACAATGCAATAGGTTTTGCCTTTTTTTATAAATAACTTTTAATAAATTGAGTGTTTGCAATGTTTATTTTTGCATTTCTAAGTCCTCCATCACTCTAAGTACTTGCTTATTTGTGTATACTGATTCAACTTTAAGCTAATTACCTGTTGGAGGGGGTGTCTTAGATTTAAATTTTCTCAAATTCTGCTGGTGGAAAGTGAATCAAATCTTTTAGACCTTGCAGAGGATACTCTAAACTTAAACACATAGGAAAAAGTACTAACTTTCCATCAGGAAAATTTTTCCTATATCAGTTTAAAGTTAATGGACATTAAGATGATCCAAACTCAGAGAAATGGGTAGAAAAGTTTAGATGATATTTAGAAATAGTTTGTACAAGAGAAAGATACTCTTACTAAGTCAAAGGGTTAGTTTTAAGCATTTAAAATACACATTAAAAGGGAAGAACTTCAGGCATTTTGATGCTCATTATGTTGCTAGGCAACAGCAGCAAGTGGTGATGCTATGAATATTAAGCAGGGATATTATGTTACAGTAGCTACTGGATTAAATCTAACAAAGTTAGCCTAGCTGGTAGCCAGTGGACAGTGATAAGGCTACCATCGACAAATGTTTTAAGAAGAATGAATGGGAAAGAAGAAAAGTAAAGGGAATTACTGTCATTAGGGATGAAGTCATAACTGTAAATATATAGGTGATATCGTTAGTAGAAATACACAAAGCATTTCTGATTGAAAAATGGCTTCATATAGATCGATAAGTCCATTGATATTAGATATTTTACATGCTGTTTTTAATTTGACAATACTCATACAACTGGCGCCTTATCACTTGTATATTTGATTTGTTGGTGTTACCATACGCTTAATCTTTGGTTTATCTAATGTTGAGAAAACACTTGTGACACTTGACGTCTAAAAGCGGTTCACTTTTTTTGGGACACCTGATATAATGTTTACAATTTTTTATCACAAATCTGGCAGTAGGAATATATTTGAAACCACAAAATCAACTGGTACGTTGTAAGCTTACAACTCCATTTACTTCGTCTTTTTGAAACAAGTGCTTGTAAGCACATTTTTCTTTCTTGATGTGCACTGTTTGTCTTCAAGGCCATAGTCAGCACCATCTATTTAATATCTAACATAATATAATGAAGTCCGGTAACTTAGAAAAAAGAAAAATATAAAAAAATTCTCATGCCAGGGGCTTTGATCAGTGATATTTTATGTTTTTTTCAACTTTCATATTTGTGTAACTTGTCAGATTTTTTTCTTTTAACATTTCTCGGCGATCTATAAATAGATATGAGGTCATGTCCATGAGCGGAGTTTTGGCCCAAAAAGTAAGACATTACGATTTGCAAGTGATTCTGACCATGTTTTAAGTATCAAAATAATGTTGAGAGTATTGAGACTCAACTGAAGTTAAAAAATAAGGTGAAATGTACACAAACTCAGTGATTATGACCAAACAAAAACGGGAGTCCGAACCGGAAGTCAAAAGAGTAACCGCACTTTCAGTAATAACTGAATAATGAAGATTGATGGTGCTCACCATTCTGATACTCAGACCATCTCTGCTATGCACAAGAATGCACGGTTTTAGAAGGAAACTGAAAGAAGGCTGTGATATCTCACGATCGGTGCTCACTGTGTTCAGGGCTTCAAGAATTCTCTGACAGGAATCATTTCTCCAAGGAGCAACCTCAGTGCTAATTGCTTCTCACTTTTGTATCCTCAAACAATTTTTTAACTTTACTGACCAGTGTTAGGGAGGTTAAGCTTACATCTAAAATCGAAACGAAAACGTATAACGTATCAATGCCCAATATTGTATTAAATGTTCTCCCTTACCGTTCAGCCTCAGTGTTTAACCTTAAACAAAAACTTTATATTAGGCTGTGCACCTGCACCTAAAGTATTTGCCATATTAACAGTTGTGACGTGATTTGCTATTTGCAGGGACCCGTATTTAAAAATATTTAGAAAAGTAGCTAAAATATATTGTACACAAAGTTGTTAAGATGTTGATCTTTATTATCGGAAAGTTTCATGTAATTATATTAGAAAATAGCAAAGTTAGAGCGAGGTGTCCAAGACTTTTGGATCACCCCTCGTACTTCTTCAAAAATAATTGTACTGTCAAGTCAAAATAGCCAGCATATACAGTAGACATGAGTATGATTCCCTTTGACATCAACGTGGAACTTCAAATTCCCTGTTTTAGATATTGACTGTGTACTTTCCGTTCACGTTTTACGTGAAAAAAGCGCACGCTTAACCTCTCTATTATAATAGGTAAGCTGCTGTTTTAGGCCGTTTTTGAACACCATGAGCACTTTTCAAAGAATTACTTGAATGGATCTTTAATCAAATCATCATATCCCGTGTTTAATTCTATTTTCATGAATATAATTTGAATTCTGTATAATGCATATCAACGTATTTCAGATGTCTCGAAGGACACGAACGGTTGCATTAACTTCTTTCAGAAATTCTTTGTGAGGGGTTGTACTCGTACTTATTTAAGTTTATTGGTGATATATCACCGGTGTCATGAAAAGTTATAAAATAGGAATTTTTAAAATTGAATAACCCAATCTAAACACTGAGTAAGGGATACCATGCCTGCACGGTATTAGTTACTAAAATGACCTATCATAGAGTCTATAGAGCGTAATTTTGCATGACACAGGTGGATATATAATGCAATGATAGCGGCAGAAATAGCCTATCAGCAGAAGGCTTTTATTTGTGCTGTGGAGTAGGCAATTAATCATATATTAGCCAGCAGGTTCAGAGAGAAAGAATTTCATAATCAAAATGGGACTTATGGGAGAAGCACGTTTAGGTATCGCTGATTATGTCGTGTTTGCTATATTCATTCTCTCATCACTTTCAATTGGAGTTTATCATGCACTTAGTGGAGGCCGTCAACGGACGACAAAGGAATACCTTACAGCTGACAAAAAGCTAAAAGTTGTCCCTATATCTCTGTCTTTACTGGTGTCGTTCCAGTCAGCAATTATGATTTTAGGCTACCCAGCAGAAATGTACATGCGCGGAGCCCAGTTATATATCGGAAACATCGGAATGCTCATTGGTACCATTCTTACAACCAGGCTCTGGGTACCATTGTTTTATAAACTTCAGATAACAAGCACATTTGAGGTAAGTTGATTTACGAACCAGTGCCTGTAGTATATATTGTAGTAGGGTGTTGGGTAACGACTGCTTAAACTGTTTCCTACATAGGTGTAAAAGTATTTCTGGTCCTACTTAGATATTGTCCGACTGACCAGTATCCCTAATTGACAAAATTGTTCTACTACTTTCTTCAATTATATTCTAGGAACATTTTTTCTAAGGATCTTGGTCCATCATTATTATTAGGCTTGTGAATTATGGAATTAAGAGTCATAATTCACACTGCATGCTCGGAATTCTTCTGGAAAACCCCCAAAACGACGAGAATGTTTCAAAAATAAAAAAAAAATGACAAAAAACACAATCTGTTCTCTACGGCCCGAAAAATGTCAAAACCCTACAAAATGACAATGAATGTTCTGTCGCTATATTGCGAAAAGTATCCCTACAATATGACGGTGAATGTTCTGTCGATATTGCGAAAAGTATCCCAAATTGCTTTTTAGACATTCTTTACTCGGTTTTAGTCAAGTGAAGATGTGATGGTAGAATCGTATAGAATAGTTCTTCTATTGCAGACGATGCAAGTTCTATGAGTAGAAATATAAGGGTGAAGGTCAGCAGTTTCAACTAATCTAAATCATCAACAGTTTACCAGTTAAAGTAGCAAAATAAAACATATAATCTTAAAAGTTAAAACGTAACTCTCTGTAATGTTACAGTTAGAATGTCTAAAAAAACATTTTGTAACACTATCCCCACCGACATATCAAAACATAATAAAAAAGACTGAAAAAAAAAAGTTACTAAACTGTATTTACCACAGGGGCTGTACCAAATTACGCGTGGCAGTTAATGCGCAAGGTAAGTTTCAAACGAGGGTGATGGAATTGGAACAAACTGATTTTTTCATCGTCTGTAACAACATCCAAAACAATTAACTTGAAAGCGGATTTCATATACACACTCCGGATATATTGACCTCGGGATAATCTCAATATCCTGAACCTCATATAGGATTATCTCTATATACTCTGCTTTTTATTCGGTACATTAGATATTCCATACAGACCAAATAAAACAAGCATTTTACCAAACCTTTACCCAATCTATCGAATGTTTTTTATTTTATTGAATTTAATAATCTATAGAATTTATATTCGCTAAATAGTTTCACTTGTTCTTTGTGTTGGCATTTACGTTTGATATGTATACATGTATTTGTGCGATGTAGCGAATCAGTTTGTTTTCCTAAACGCACATATAATTCAATTAATTATTTGTACATTCCGTATTTAAAATACTAATATTCGGTTAATACCGAATGCCACATTCGATAAATTTCGTTATTTTTCGATACCTTACGGGACTTTCAGTCACGTGATATATTTGAACGATGTAGAATAGCTGCGCGGCCATTTTGCAAAACTCGAGGTCACGTAGCAAAATATCGAACAACAATGAAAGTTATCGAATATTACTTTATTGCATTCGGTAAATAGCAAATTAGCTTTTGGTAAAATGCATTAACTATGTTATAGAAAAATAAATCATTTAAGAAATATAGACAAGTTTATTTCAGTAGGGTTCAAATAAAAATTTGATATTGTTCATATAAAGTGTTACTTTTAAGAAATACCACAACAATTTACGCAAAAAAACATATCTAAAGCGAATAAAATAGTAATTTAATGCACAAGTATTAAGTGATTTAATCCATTTGCTATTTTGTAAACTTCGTTTGCTGTAACAAATATATAAACGTTTTACCGAATGGAAAATTGATTTAGCGAAGAAGCAAAAAATAATGCCATACAAATGTGACTATGACTGTGCAATGCTAAAGTTTAGCATATATCAGAGATCTAGCAATGTTTAACTTCCTATACGTTTCTCTATTTACCATTATGTATTGGAAAAAATATTGAAACCTATTCACCAGGGCAGCCAGGTCCCCGAGATGTACCTTACCCGTGCGTTTACATGTCACGCGTAATTGGTATAGCCCATGTGTTGACACATAATATCTGTTAGAGTAGAACATAGCTATGCTCAACCTGCACAATTTTGCATCTTCCTAATATTTTATGTAGACACGATAAGGTATCCAAAAATGCAAAGAAAAAAACTTTCTACTACAAAGGATGAGTCAGGAATGGGGCAGGATTTTTCCATAAAACTTTATCTACTGTACACCAGTACATTATAATGTTAATGTACGTTATAATGTATACATTATCACACCTTAATATGAATGTCATATTTAGTCCATGGTATGACTTCCGAATATGAAGGATCCGTAGCACACTATAGCGCAGCAACATTTGAAGCAATATATAAGGAGGTGCATATGTTTTGATTCCTTTAAAATACCATTTGCTGAAAAAACTTCCGGCTTTCGGGTCGAAAAATGTCTTTCACGCCAAGGGGTCAAATAACGTAAATATTTTGATTTTATACATTTTATAAGACACGGACCATTATTCTAAGCATACGGACAAAAAATAGATTATCATAATGTAAAAATTTACTATTATTTTAGGGTAAATATCGGGGTTCAATCAGTGTAATTACACAAGTATGCTTTTCAGATTTTGTTTGATTTTTCAAATATGAGCCAAGCAGATTCAACAGAATTATTTAGGGAATTCATCAGAAGAAAACTAATTGTTTACCATTTGTAATGATTGATTAGTTTAAAATCGATATTATCCAAAAATTTTCCAATTTTTTTTACTCTGAATCTTAATTAACTTCACTAATTGATAATACACTGCGGGTCTTTTGAGAGATATTATATTTGAATTTGTATCTATGAAGCTAATGGCCCTCAGTAAATCGGTGGCATAATCACATCCCACATTACACATGTTTTTTACAGACCCCAAAACAATGCTCGTTAAAAATATAGAATTGAAACGGTCGGTTAATAAGGTTTATGTTCTTGTTATTTTATGTTATAACGTTTATGGTTGTGTTTGAAACATTGTGTAAATAGAACGCCATATTCATACGAGCATGCAAACTGTCTAGTGTAGTGAAAATCGAACACAATTAGGAAATCAAGTTGTGAAACAAGAGATTCATTTAAATCAATAAACGTCGCTTAAAACTGATACTCATTAGTCTTTCATATTTGGAAATAGAGAATTATTATTGGTCTAACTAGTTTCTGGAGATTTCTCATTGGTCCAACTAGTTTATAGAGAGTTCTCATTGGTCAAACGGGTTTTAGCATAGCTGACTTTGGTATGTGAGTTGAACAGGATTGATATCGTCAGCTGACCAGAGGGCAGGATACGATGAAGACTGTGTGATTGTGGCTTCTTGTTTGATGTTTGGATTTGGGACCATGCTTTGTTGAGTATTGGATACTGGTACTAGGTTTGATATTCGGAAGTACATTAGGTATAGTACAACGAGGTACGCCTTTGACTTTATCACTAGTGGTAGTTCTAGATCAAATACTTGATGTTAGATGTATTACGATAACGGAAGTTAGGGCGTGGCATGGCCCTCTGGCGCTCCGGGGTTGGATCTCGTTATAGCATTTCCATTTTATCTCTTATTGTCTGTGGCTTATTTTTATATTACTGTATGCATGTATTGTTTTAATGTTGTAAATAAATATTTGATGTTGTAAACCGTGTTGATTTTATCCGATTGTTATCCTTGTAAATACCCTCTGCCCTTTGTTCTTTTTGCTTAGCTGTATTTTCAGTACCATCATTACCCCCTAGTAAGGTCGCATTACAGAATAATAACTTTTTTCCTTCGAGGGATATTACTCTCACCGTGTAAGCCAACGGAAAGATTTTGAATAGGACTGCAGATATCGATGCAATGATTCGATTGGTTGAGATTTGAGAAATTTGACCTTTGAACTTTGTCAATCAAACATGTATCTCTATGGAAAAATAAGGCTGTTTTCCCTCTCAGAGAAGCTGACCTTGATGGATCAGTGAAATTGAGAGAGAAATTATCACTTTTTGACAGACGGCTCTTTCCTCATTTTTGTTGTTCTTATTACTTTTACACTCATTTAAAGTTGACACTATTGGAGAAGACAATCAATGTGACAAGTCTCAAACATAAAGGAGATGATTAATTGTTCTGTATGTATTGCTTTCCTCACTTGCTCCTAGTATAAAAAGAAATGGTAAGGAATTGAAGTCACTCTTGGCCTAGATTTTGTTAAGTCAACAGTTATTGTTAATTATAAAAATGGTACTTTAAGAAATTTAAGAGTTTGTATTTTCTTGAGCAAAATTAATGTAAATAGCCGAAGAGCATAGAGTAAAATATATCATTTGACTGTGAGTGTTTCCGGCAACTGGTGGCAGTCTGGTAGGATTTAATACGATTTCATGAGAATTTTTAGAGATTCATAATAACTGACCTTTGCATGCTATCAATGCAATGAAAAAAAAACGTTACCAAATTCAACCAAGGAACTATTTTGGATTGAAACTGACTGACTGATCTACAGGAAAGCTGATTAAACTGGAATATATAAATTTGGAATAAATGATACATATGTAAACAAAAAATAGATTGGGCTTACTGACCAATGTTAATTATATGCGGTTGCTTATCAGCAAGTCAGCTTTTGAACTTTTAGTAACCCTTATGGTTTTGTAATCAATCACGATCAGCTCTCTAGCTAACTAGGGTCAGTTAAAGGCCATTAAAAGATATAGTATGTATATTGAGGGAGTTTTTTTTAAAGATTTACTTAGACTCCCAATACTCACAACGGAGACTAATCTTGGGAAACACCATAAACATTCAATAATTAAGGGAACATAACCTAAAGAGCCAATATGAATATACTTATAGTTTAATAACATAATAGTGAGTTTGAGCTGGCTTTGTATAAAAAAAACCTCCTACCTCGTACCCACGTACGTGGGACATGATACAGTCTTTGAAGGGTTCAATTTTAAAGATCTTAGTATATTAAATCTTAGTTTATGATGAATTATAGATGCATTTGTAACAACCCTTGATAGCAAGTTGCTACT